AGAGCGGGACCCGCCTTCCGGGACTCACTCTGGGGACCCAGACCCCCGCTTCAGCACGGTGAGCTGAGGTTTTAGTCATGAAACACTACAGTGAAGGGAAAACGTTCAAATGAGCCCTTTTCCGGGACAGTGGCTCTTCTGTCCCAGCCGTGGAAACCCCAACGTCTTTCAGAGAGCGCCCGCGGGGCGGGGCGGGGGAGGGGTGCGGGTGCGCGGGGCGGGGCAGAGCTGGAGTAGCCGAGGGCCGTCTTGGTCAAGCGGGCAGTCAGAGCTGCCTGTCGCTGCGAGGGCCGCGCAGGTGACCGTCCTGAGCACGCTGGCACTTCCCGCCAAGCCTGGGCGACCTGCTCCAGAGCGGGTCAACCCAGTTGGTGAGAGGCCCCGGCCCCGTCACAGGGTGTCGCGTTTCACACACTGAGTTTGGGGGTCTGGCCCGCCACCGAATCGTGTGCGGGCCGGCCCCGCCGTCTGAGCCCGGCTGCGGGAGAGGGACAGGATCCCGTGCTGACCAGGGCAGGAGGTTCCCCTTGGGGACGCAGCGGGCCGGTCCACACAAAACCCGCGTCGGCTGCTCTCCCGCCCCTTCGTGAAGCGCTGCCGCCCGCGGGTCCCGCCTGACGGGAGAGCACGCGGGTGGGGGCGAAGCGAGGGTGCGCGTGCACGCGCGACCGCACGTGTGCGTGCGTGTGCCTGTGCGCATGCGCACAGGGGGCCCTGGGAGGGTCACCACGTCATAGGACACCTGGAGGAAAGGATGTGTGTCCTGACTGCTGTGTTCCACTGTCTTGCTCAAGCTTCTGCTCAGTGGATCACGCTGTGTGTCACACTGCAGGGTCATAGTTTGGGTCACGCCACAGGTCACATGTCGGGGTCACATGGGGAGGCCACATACCCAGTCCACAGGAACCTGTACACCTAAGGGGCTCTAGGCACATGGCCCAGGCATGGAATCATCTGCAAAGCCCCTGCCTGCCTGGGAGCTCCCGGCTCACCTCCGGCCCTGCAGCTCCCGCCCAGGCCCCCTGGCTGGCCTGTGCTCTGCCCCTGGGAATGAGCGGACCAGCCTACCGGCTTGTTTCTGGGACTGGCAGCATCCGTGAGGGCTGTGACAACCAGTTTGAGTAGGACTCCCACCTGCTACATCCTGTCCCTGTGCCCCCAGGCCTGGCCCTTAGCGTTTGCCACATTGGGGCTGGGGGCTCTTAACCTTAAAACGACCTTGAGGACATGGGCATCCGAGGGCACCTGTGAGGAGGGGCAGGAGGTGATAGGGAGTGGGGCAAGTGAGCCAGAGGTGGCTGGGTGATGTTGACTTGACCATTGAAAGGACAGCCATGAAGGCCCAGATCCCCCATGCTCGCAGCTCGGCCTCTGAGGCCAAGGTCTCTTCCGCCGCTGAGACACGGAGCTTCTCACGTCCTCCTTGGAGCACATTATTGTCAGGGGGACTGTGAGCCTGGGACACACTCTATTTTGGGTGAGAATTATGTTTTTCACCTTTTGCCATTTTCTCTGACACTGTCAAAGCCTCACCATGGCAGGAGGGTTGACCTGGCCCTGGATTCTGTGGGGGCATGTCACCCCGGTCACCCCTGCGAGCCACCTGACAGAAGCCAGCTCAGAGTTCCACTCCAAGGCATCCAACTTGTGAAACAGCTTTTAGAAGAGTTTCTGCAAAATGTGAGTGTGAACAGAATGTAAAGGGCGCCAGGAGGACACGTGGACCGGCCGCCAGCTACTCTGACTCTGACCAAGGGGCGGCTGACGGCAGGGGCCCCTCCGCTCCAGTCTGTCCCCGCGCCAGTGGGGCGCCGCCTGCCCTCCGAGAGGACGGGGCCAGGCTGTGGGACTCTGGCAGGAGTGTCACAGGTGACCGCGCAGGCAGGCATGGGCTGGGTGGGCCCCTCTCCTGCTGCCCCACGTATGTCCGTTTGTGATGAGTTTGAGATCCCCAGGGTATCTCAGTGATCAAGTTTGTCATATCTGTAAAATGTCTTAGGAACTTTAGAGAGATTGAATATATCGAATGTGTAAGTTACTAGAATATTAATTAAAGAATAATTGAAGACATACACTAAAAAAGTTACTAGATTTATAGATAAGCTTTAAAATTGAGCTTTAAAGCTTGAGAAAAGCTGGTTTTAAGTTTATTATAAAATTTTCTAATTTTATAAATTGAAAAAATTTAACCCAGCAATACTACTTGTAGTAACTTTCCCTGAAGATAAACTTCCAACAAAAAAATATATCCGCATAAATTACTCTCTGCAGCTTTGTTTGTGCTACAGAATGTTGTAAACAGCCTAAATGCTCAGATTTAGCAGGTAGTTGAGTAAGTAGGGTGCTGGTTGAGGAGATTCTGTGTGCACGGATGTGGGCTGTAATAAAGTAGATTGGGCCTCTGTCCTCAGTTCCCAGGGCAGAGCCCCCCAAATCCTGGGAACTTCCTCAGTGATCCAGGTGTCCTGTTACTTTTCAGGCACCCAGTTAGGCTAATGAATAACCAGGGCAGGGCTGATAGCCTGGGCCTGGGGGCTGGGTATTGATTTACAAAGGAAAAATGGTCACTTTCCAGGGAAAAAGCCCCTTCAGGAGCCACTTCAGCCAAGTTATCCACAGTAACATCACTGGTGATGGACTTCATGTGCCTCCTGATGACACTGAGGAGGACAAACCCTAAAATGCGACCTCCCCAGCTGACCATGACAGTGCAGCACACCAGTACAAGTCGAGGCTGGTCAGCCAGTGTCTGGCCTGTAGGCTTCCAAACTGTCCAAGCGAGGACGGACGGACAGCGGTCCTGACAATGCGATGAGGGGTCTTGAGTTGGATCCTGGGCCAGATTTTTTTTATCTTTATTTTTATTTTTATTTTTATTTTGCTACAAAGGACACTGTTGAGACAATTAGCAAATATCGATGAGGTGTGTGGATCAGATAATGGTATTTATCAGTGGAATTCCTGATTCTGGTCATCGCATGGGTGATGCAAGAAAATCTTGTTGTTTCTAGGACATCCACAGAGGTGTCTAAGGGTGAACAGGTAACTTCCTCTCGACTGGCTCAGAAAAACTTCAGAGATGATAGCTAGAGAGATGATATAGGCTAGACAGATGCACAGATGCTGGGGAGCAGAGGGATAGACGGGTTGATGGACGGGTGGATGGACGGGTGGATGGCAGTCCAGCGACGAAGGGCACAGTGAGCATGGCTGAGCCTTCCCCAACCCTCCAGCCTCACCCTCCTCCCCACACCCCTAGTTTGTTCCCACTGCCCATATCACCTCTGTGTACCCACAGTTTCCTATACGCACCCACCTCCTGGGCACTGCCCAGCCCCTCCCGGGCCTAGAGGCTGGACGGTCAGGGTCCCGCTCCTGATCTGCGCACACCGTCCTGTGTCCCCGTCCTAGGACTCTGGTAGCCACCCGGCCCCAGTGCCCAGCTCCAAGAAGAACTCATGCTCACTCTAGATGGGTCCCCGGACACTTCCGAGACCCCTCTGGGCTCTCATCCAAGTTGTGGGGCTCCATGCTGGGGCTGATAGGGCTCTCCCAGAAATTCCTACCCGTGTGCAGTGTGCCCACCTGTGTGTTGGACACTGGCACCTCTACAAGGCCTGTCCTGCCTCCAGCCCTTTCCTCTGGCTGTGTGACCTCCCCAGGCTGTCATCTGCCCCCCAGCCCGGCCCTTAGTCCCAAGGCCTGAGCTCACCTCCCACGAGGTGGGGTATTTGGGTTCAGGACCAAAGCCATAAGAGGACAGTGCTGGGGTGGAGGAAGGGGACACAGGTCTGGCCGACCCAGGTGGGGAGAGGCCTAGGGACTCCCAGAGCCAGAGGCAACGGGGGCCGGGTGGGGTGTGGGATGGGGGCTGCATTTCTGGAGCCGTCCAGGTGGGCAGGAGTCCAAGGGCCCCTCAGATCTCCCACCTACCCTCCCACCTACCCTCCAGCTCCAAAGCCATGGGAGATAGAGGTGCTGGGGGGGAGGGGGCGTGGGGCTCTCCTAGGCCTTGGACCAGTCTCAGCCCCTCCAGGCCCACCATCTCTCAGGTCAGCATTTGCCCTTTCTCCACTCATGCCTGAGGGCTACATGGCTATGCAACATCTGGGGGGCTGGGGAGCTAGGGGACAGGAGCTGTATGTATACTTCCCAGAGCCAGGGGGTTCAGAGGCTTCTGTCAGATGGCAGAGGCTCGGGGACCAGGCCCAGCTCCCATAGGTGGAGGACACAGCTGGGCATGGGATTGAGCGCGGTCAGGGATGGAGGCTGCCCAGGGTGGTGGTGAGCTCCAGACATCACAGCCTGCTGACCTTGGAACTGGACAGGGCCTGCCCCAACCCCGTGGCTCTGGGCCTGGCGGCCGGGCAGTGGCCTCCTCTTCCACCTGCTGCCCAGGGGCCAGTTCACTGCCCCATGGCAGCCGCGGCTGCTCTACGGTCCTTCAGTGGTCCCTGTGGGCGGTGGGGGCACCATGCCCGGGCTCACCCATGTGAGGTTGGAGGGTAGGAAAAAGGCAGGTGGGACCTTTGCTCAGAAGAAACCAGAGACCAGGCGGATGTGAATCTTTACTTAGGGAAAAGCTACAGAGCTAGAGGCTCCAGAGGGAGAAGGTGTTGGCGGGGTCCTGGGGACAAGGGCACGACCACAGGGCGGACAGCGTCGGGCAAAAGCAGTCACAGGTGCCGCAGGCGCGGGCGCTGTGAAGACGGGAGGGCAGAGGGTGGTGAGAGCTGCAGAGCCAGGCGGCACGCGGCCCCCCAGCCGCCCACCTGCTTGGGAAGAACAGAGGAGCTGAACCCCACGCACCCGCCTCCGGTTCACCTGACTCCCGCACATGCGCCCCGCCCCCAGCTGCTCAGACGTGGTTGAGGCAGCCGCGTGGGGGACCCGCAGCCCTGGGTAAGGCTGTGGCGCGCAGGGTCGCCCCCTCTCCCGGTGGGGTGCAGGGAGGCGGCTCCCCCGCCCAGGGGTCACCTACGCTGGCGCAGGCAGCAGGCCGTCACTGCGCGGCCGGGGGCGGCACGCTCCCCGCCGCCTTCCGCTCTGCCTCCTCTTCAGGCGCCACAGGCTTCCCAGGGGGCTCGGCAGTCGCCGCCGTGCCCGCCTGGGTGGGCGCCTTGGGCCCCTCCTTGGCCATGCGGTGACTCTTCACCCAGGCTGAGGGCGGCTCGGTGCCGTGCTTGCGGCTCAGCGGGTAGGCCCCGATGGCCGCCAGGATGCTGCGGTGGCGCTCAGGGTCCATCTCCGTGTAGTACATCTCCAGGGTCAGCGGGGTGCACATCTTGCTGTGGGAAG